CACTCACTCTTTGTTTCACAAAGATTGCAAACACCAATGAGACATTAGTTGGCTTTTCATAAACTTAACTGGTCTGATCTAGGTAAATGTGAATTAATTTAGTCAGTGACTTTATACACATGTTGGAAGGAATCATTCATTTCCCTTGACATTAGTTCTAGGCTCAGATCCAATGCCTGTATACTCTGATTCATTTCTACTGTATTTATTCAGTGCTGTGATCTATTTATTCCTTTATTTGTTAAATATTTATAGGCTTCCTACTGTGTGCTAAGCACTAGGGATACAGTTGTGAACAAAATAGACAAACATCTCTGTCCTCATGGAACTTGCAATTTAGACAGGAAATAAACTAAATGAATTTTTAAAATACAGAAAGCTAGATGTATGATATGCTAAGGAAAAAATAGTAATAAAGCAGAAAAAGGAGCTACATAATGTTGTGGCACAGGGTGATTTTAGCCACTGAAATGGTGACCTTTTTTTTTTTTCTTTTTTTTTTTTCAGACAGGATCCCACTTTGTCACCCAGGCTGGAGTGCAGTGAAGCAATCACGGCTCACTGCAGCCTCAACTTCCTGAGCGCAAGGGATCCTCTGGTCTCAGCCTCTCGAGCAGCTGGGACTACAGGCTCCTGCCACCATCCCTGGCTAATTTTTGTATTTTTAGTAGAAACAGGGTTTCACCATGTTGGCCAGGATGGTCTCAATCTCCTGACCTCGTGATCCACCCACCTTGGCCTCCCAAAATGCTAGGATTACTGGCATGAGCCACCGCACCTGGCCAGACCTTTTAAGAGTTAAAAGAAAGATGCAAACATGACTCCATAGTAGTTCAGAAAAGGAAGCAATCATATTGTTGAGAAGGCTTAGCTGGTAGGGCAAGGTGGGATTGGGAGTTAAAAACCCTCCATAGAGGGGTTGGGCACAGTGGTTCATACCTGTAATCCCAACACTTTGGGAGGCTGAGGCAAGAGGGTTCCTTGAGCCAAGGAGATCAAGACCAGCCTGGGCAACATAGCAAGACCCCATCTCTACAAAAAAAATTAAAAATTAGCCAGGCGTGGTGGCCCACAACTGTAGTCCCAGAGCCTTAGGCGGCTGAGGTGGGAGGACACTTGAGCCCAGGAGATTGGGGCTGTGGTGAAATATGATCACACCTGCAACAGAGCGAGACTCTGTCTCAAAAAAGTTAAAAAATAAAATTAATATTTTTTTTAACACTCCATAGGAACTTAAGTTTGAAAAGAGTCTTTACAAAGCATGTGGGTCAATGAAGCAGCACCACCTCTTCAATGAAGAGGCCAACTAGGGTCAGAATCAAAAAAGGGAAAGACATATAAACTTTAAATATTATACAGATATATAAATGTACAACTATTACCTGTAATATAAATGTTATGTAATATTTATATTACATACAAAATGTGTGGCCATATATTAAATGTATGCTATTTTCCCATGCATAGAACTTTCCTTGGTACCTCAAATGTGTTATGAGTAGGGCTTCTTCTTACATCTGTTAATTGAGAAAAAGAGGTGGAAAGTTATTTGTCAAATATAAAGTCCTCGCTGAGGGTGGTGGCTTACATCTGTAGTCTCAGTACATTGGGAGGCCAAGGTAGGAGGATCACTTGAAGCCAGAAGTTCAAGAGCAGCCTGGCCAACATGGCAAGACTAAAAATACAAAAATCAGCCGGGTGTGGTGGTGCATGCCTACAATTTCCACTATTCAGGAGGCCGAGGCACAAGAACTGCTTGATCCTGGTAGGTGGAGGTTGCAGTGAGCCGAGACTGAGCCACTGCACTCCAGCCTGGATGGCACAGTAAGATCCTGACTCACAAAAAATAAAAAAATAAAGTCCTATAAGTGGAGGGTGAGAGGGGGCCAAGAAAATGAAATCTAGTTCTTAATTTGGAACCCAAGAGTCCAGATAATTATTTTCTCCCCCTTTGGCCAAAGACCAAAGCCTCCCTAAAATGCTGAGATTATAGGCATGAATCACCACGCCCAGACAATACATGATATTTTTTTTTTTAAAGAGACAAGGTGTCGCTCTGTCACAGGCTGGAGTGCAGTGGTAAGATCATAGTTCACTGCAACCTCAAACTTCTGGGCTCAAATGATCCTCCTGCCTCTGCCTCTTGCATAGCTGGGACTACAGGCATGTGCCACCATGCCCAGCTAATTTTTATTTTGTAGAGACGGAGTCTTCCTATGTTGCCCAAACTAAGTCTCAAACTACTCCTGGCCTCCAGGTGGGGTTGCTCACACCTGTAATCCCAGCACTCTGAGAGGCTGAGGTGGGCAGATCACAAGGTCAGGAGATCAAGACCATCTGGGCCAACATGGTGAAACCCCATCTCTACTAAAAATACAAAAAAATTAGCTGGGCGTGGCAGCGCACATCTGTGGTTCCAGCTACTCAGGAGGCTGAGGCAGGAGAATTGCTTGAACCCAGGAGGCGGAGACTTCAGTGAGCCAAGATTGTGCCACTGCACTACAGCCTGGGTGCGAGATTCTGCCTCAAAAAAAAACAAAAACAAAACACTAGTGGTCTCAAGGGATCCTCTCACCTCGGCCTCCCAAAGGGCTGCCATTAGAGGCATGAACCATAGTACCAGGCCATGAATTTTAAACTGCATTGTTAATTAAAAATATATCAGCATAAATACATACCCATTTTAGTACATACTCTAGCTGTGATAAAAGCAATTAAAATATTTTTAAAGAATATCCAAGACTTAGCATGTTAATATATTATAAAATCAAAGTGAAAAAATATTAGTGATGCTGACATTTATATTAAGATTCAGATCAAGATGATAGCACATATTATTTTTGTAAATTTAATATTTCAAAGCAATAATATAAAACAGTCAGCTGTCCATGTAACATTTGTTTCTTTAAAGCAGTTGTTCTTAGGGTGTGGTCTGCTGACCAGCAGCATCAGCATCACCTGGGAACTTGTCAGAACTAACAAACCTGGGCTTGGTTTGTTTCTTAATAGAGAGATATTTAAAGTGTGTTTTAACAAGACCTCCAGGTGACTCTGATGTAATTTAAAGTTTGAGAAATATTGCCTAAGAAGTAACCTGTCTTTTTTCCTCTGATTTTTAAATTTTACTTTTATCATGAAAGTAATTTTATTCTAAAAAAATAAAGAAAAAACCAAGGAAGATTTCCATTGTCTTATTTGGGGGCTTGTTAATTATAATTAAACAGAAAAGCTACCTCTGCAATTTTCATTTGCCCTTTACATAGTTGAAAAGCAATCGTTTGCTGCCCCCTGGCTGTAAAAAGCTTCCTTATCTTTCAATAAAACTAACTTATAAAGAAAAAAATTACTTTTGCAAAGAATTGCAGTAGCATACTTTATTTATTTTAATTCTAAATATCAAATATGGCTTCTTTGGCATGTGGATTTAGAATTTTTTTTAATTTTTATTTCTATGACTTTTTTTCTGGGTATCTTTTGGTCATTGTTTGCTAACTTCATTGCTCTGTGGTTAAGCATTGTCTGAGACAAACATTTTCCCATGTGTGGCTGGATTTTATAGTGAGGAAATGCTGTTTCATCATGTTCAATCTGCATGTAGTTATTTAATTGCCTGCTTAAACTGTATTTGTGAGAGCTCTTGTGGTGGCTTCATCATTTCTCCCTAGAGTTCTGTCCCTTTTTTTTAATTTTTATTTTTTTGAGGCTATGTTTTATACACACACACACACACACACACACACACCCCTCTTTCTTGATGTATAACTCTTTTTATTATGTAATACTTAATTTTTTCTCTATGAGCCTTTTTGCCTTAATCTATTCTGTCTGATACTAACATTCAAAGCAGATTTCTTTTTACTTGCCTATTTTAGATGTCTCTTGTACATAGCACAAAATTGGATTAATCTATTCTGTGAATATTAATATTTTGGTTAAAGCATTTATTCCATTAACATCTTCTGGATTAATATATTTGAATGTTACATTTTTCTTCTATTTTTTTCTCTAGCTTCTTTTGCATATTTTTGTCATTCTTTTTTATTTTCTGTACATTTTAAATTTATTTACTCTATTATTTCAGTAGTTCTCCTAAACAATTCTTAGCCATGTTTTTTCATTAAATCTAGATTTGGATGTATGTTACTCTCCTGATTTACATGGTTTTTTAATCATGCATTTTCATTCTTTTTTATTGATATGTCATAGTTGCACATATTTAGTTCTTTTTGAAATTTCAGAAGAATTGTTCTTGCTGTTGCATGCTGTCATGTCTTGTCTCATCATTCTTACACGTTTGCCACTTCAGTGCTTATTTGATTCTTACACTCTGATGTGATTCTTACATTCTTTGCTTTGGTTAAGTAATCAAAGGATTACTTCTTTGTCCCTGAAATACATCTTAAATGATGTCTCTTTTCTGCGGGTTGCAAACCCAAAGATACTGGGTTTTTTTTCTTTTTCTCATGGACATTTTTGGTGGTTATAAGATTTTATATTTTATTTCAGAAATTGTTCCACTACCTTCTGTCTTCCACAGTTGCTAATAAGAAGTCAGCTGTCAGCCTAACATTTGTTTCTTTAAAGCAGTTGTTCTTGGGGTGTGGTCTGCTGACCAGCAGCATCAGCATCACCTGGGCACTTGTTAGAAACAAACCTGAGTTTCTTTCGTTTCTTAATAGAGAGATATTTACAGCATATTTTAACAAGACCTCCAGGTGACTCTGATGGAACTCAATGTTTGAGAACTATTGCTTAAAAGATAACCTGTCTTTTTTCCTCTGACTGCTGCGAAGATACTCTTTTTACTATTGGTGTTCTCTGGTTCATTGTGCCTAAGATTTCTTTTTATCTCTTCAATCTGTTTATATTTTCCTTATGAAATAAAAAATCTACAGCCACTACATTTTGCAGTAATTGCCTGGGATCCTTCTCTGTCTCTCATCCTAACTCCAGTTAGAAATGGTTCATTTCTGGAGGTAGCGGCCGCCGTGAGGAGAGCCATGAATCAGGCAGTCAAGGTTTTACAGCTCTTTAAAACACTGAACAGGACCAGACAACAAGTTTTTAAAAATGATGCCAGAGCATTAGAAGCAGCCAGAATAAAGATAAATGAAGAATTCAAAAATAATAAAAGTGAAACTTCTCCTAAGAAAATAGAAGAGCTAATGAAAATAGGTTCTGATGTTGAATTGCTACTCAGAACATCTGTTATACAAGGTATTCACACCGGCCACAATACACTGAAACTGGTCCCTAGGAAAGACCTTCTTATAGAAAATGTGCCATATTGTGACACACCAACTCGGAAGCAATGAGTTTTCTAGGATAAAATAAGTCTTTGCACTTTTTCACTTTAAAATCTGTAACACTGGCAAAATCCTGGGAATGTAGACATCTTTCTCTGAACTGGCATATTGAAGATGAATGAATTACAGAATAACTTTATATTTAAATTTCATGTTGAAAGGTCATTACTGAGAACTGAAGAACATAATTAAGTATTTCTAAAGGAAATAAGAAAACATTTCATTTTGTTTGAAAATCAAATGCCATAAAGCAAAATAAATGCTTAGGGAGATACATTCACTTCTCTCTGACCTTGATGAATATTTGGTCTTGCCATAGCTATTTGAGAATGTGGTGTTTTTACAAGTTGGTGAGATTTTTTCCCATATGAAATGCAATTATTAGATTTAAATTATTAGATTAAAATGATATTTAGTCCTGAAAAATATTAAATTGTTCCAAAAAAAAAAAAAAGAAATGGTTCATTTCTTTATCTTCTGCCCGCCTCTACACCCCCATGGTTCTTAGCGGTATTTGTGTTCCTCAACTCTTTCTGCTTCCATTGCATTTATTGCTACAACTAGCTTTTAAACTTCAGTCTTCATATAAATTTCATGTAGAGTTTGTTTAAGTGCTGATTCATCAGCACACCCCAAAGAGTCTTACTTAATTGAATTGTGGTATGATCTGGGTATCATAATTACTTAAAGTGCTCCAGGGGATGTTTATGCAGCAGATTGTATTTAAGAAATAAATTCTTCTTTTTTTCTTTTTGGTTGTATGTAATCTAAAAGCTATTTACTTAGGACTTTTGTTGTGAGTTTCCATTTTGCTTTTATTTTAGCAATTGTAATTGTCCTGTAGAAATCATACATTTTTAATTTATGTATTGAGATATATAGATAGATAGATAGATGATAGATAGATAGATAGATAGATAGATAGATAGATAGATAGATATAGATATAGGTATAGATATCGGGGGTTTTGAGACAGGGTCTCATTCTTTCACCCAGGCTGGAAGTGCAGTGGCACAATCTCAGCACACCACAACCTCCATCTCTCAGATTCAAGTGATCCTCCCACCTCTGCCTCCCAAGTAGCTAGGACTACTGGCATGTGCCATCGCGCTCAGCTAATTTTTTTTGTTGTTTTTAGTAAAGACAGGGTTTTACCAAGTTGGCCAGGCTGGTCTTGAACTCCTGACCTCAAATGATCTCCCCACCTCAGCCTCCCAAACTGCTGGGATTACAGGCATAAACCACCATGCTGGGCCTATTTATGTAAATAACAGGTAAAAATAGTCCTGGCAAGGGCAGAAATACCAGTCAGTAAAAGTAACAACGAATTATTCTCTCTGTAAATATTTACATCTGTGAATTCTGAATATCCTGGGACACTGTAATTAGGGATAAAATCAAATATTGGGAGAATTATGGTAACAAGACAGCTCATAATGGAACAGTTTAGAGCAACATTTGTTTTGGACCACAAACTTGATGGAGGAGGCAGATCTTCTAAAACTGAGGAGCAGGGCTAGGTGAGGGTGAGGTTTGTGAGTGCAGAGCCAGGGAACAGCCACTCACTCTGAGCCCGCCCTGTGTTTGTCGGACACCACAAGTGCCTTCTTAAATGTACACACTTACCGAGCAGCCTGGGCTGCCTCATCCCAGTCCTGGCCCTGAGAGGAAAAACAGATCCCAATAGGAATAGAGTAAGATTTGTGGAAATAGAAAGATAGAACTGCTTTTGCCATCCTGCGGAGAAAATTAAAAGAGAAATTAAGCGGCCTTAACAGTTGTGAAAAATTAACCTATCTATTCTAACTCATTTATGGTGACAGCATTCTGATCATCCTGGTTTTCTTTCATGTATCACATAGAAATGGGACAGAACATCTCTGAGTTCATAGATCCTACAGCTGTTCTACACTCCCTGCTCCACAACCTGCCAGGGTCACTTAGATAGTGAAATCTTTTGCATTTGTATTCAGGGCCACCATTGCTTTGAGACCCTCTGATACAGCCTGCATGTATATCCCCATGCAACTCATATGGAAATGTAATTCCCAGTGTAGGAGGTGGGGCCTGGTGGGAGGTGATTGGATTATGTGGGTGGATTTCTCATGAATGGTTTAGGAGAGTACACACCAGGGAGAAGATATACAAATGCAGCATATGCGGGAAAGCCTTCAACGGCCCTTCAGCCCTTAGGAGCCGTGCAAGAACTCACCCAAAGAGAAGCCCTCTGACTGCAGTCAGTGTGGAAATGCATTCTGGACCCTCTCGACCCTGAAAATCCATGAGAGTTCACACTGGCAAGAGGCCTTACAAGTGTGATCAGTGTGGGAAGGCGTACAGCTGGAGCTGCCACCTCATTGCACACAAAAGAACACACACCAAAGAGAGGCCCTACAAGTGTCACAACTGTGGGAGAGCTTCCCAGCACCCCTCCCACCTCAAAGGACATGTGAGAAATCACACAGGGGAGAAGCCCTACGAATGCACACAGTGGGGCAAAGCTTTCCACTGGAAGTTGAACTTTAATTTGCACAAGAAGAACCACATGGTGAAAAAGACCTACAAATGCAAAGAATATGGGAAATCCTTTGGCGATCTCATGTCCCAGAGGAAACACATGAGATTCACTTTATCAAGAATGTGGAGGCCGGGCACAGTGGCTCAAGCCTGTAATCCCAGCACTTTGGGAGGCCAAGGCGGGTGGATCACAAAGTCAAGAGATCGAGACCATCCTGGTCAACATGGTGAAACCCCGTCCCTACTAAAAATACAAAAAATTAGTTGGGCATGGTGGCGCGTGCCTGTGATCCCAGCTACTCAGGAGGCTGAGGTAGGAGAATTGCCTGAACCCAGGAGGCAGATGTCACGGTGAGCCGAGATCACGCCATTGCACTCCAGCCTGGGTAACAAGAGCGAAACTCTGTCTCAAAAAAAAAAAAAAAAAGAATGTGGAATGTCAGCAGTGTAGGAAAACCCTCTGAAACCAGTCCATGCTTAAGATTCACGTGAACTCTCACACTGGAGAGAAAGCGTACGGGTGTGATCTCTGTGGGAAAGCCTTCGGCTGCATGCTCAAACCTCACCACACACAGGAAAATACACACTCAAGAGAGACATAATGAATGCACCGCTTGCAGGAAAGTCTTCAGTGATTGTTTATCCCAGAGGAGGCACATGGGCATTCACTTGTAACGAAACGCGTGGAGTGTAGGCAGTGTGCAAAGCCTTCAGGAACCAGTCAATCCTGAATATGCATGTGCGAAGCCACACAAGGGAGAAACCATAGGAATACGATCACTGTGCGAAAGCCTTCAGCATCAGCTCCAACCTGAACATGCACAGGAGGATCCATACTAGGGAAATGCCCTGCGAATGCCTTGTCTGCAGGAAAGCCTTCAGCAATCATTCATCCCAGAGGAGCCACGTAAAAACTCACCCGGGAGAGAAGCTCTTTGTTTCATCCGTGTGGAAAAGGCTCCAGTGAGCTGTCTGCTTTAAAGACACAGGATTACTCAGACCAGAAACAGACATCATAGTGTAAAAGGAAGCTTCTGTGAGCCCACACCTTCATGGGTGCAAAATAATCCATGTAACTGGGGAGAAATCCAATTCCTGTAAAAACTGTGGGAAGGGCCAGGCTCGGTGGCTCACACCTGTAACCTTAGCAGTTTGGGATGCCAAATAGGTGGATCACCTGAGGTCAGGAGTTTGAGACCAGCCTGACCAACATGGAGAAACCCCATCTCTACTTAAAATACAAAATTAGCCGGGAGTGGTGGCACGTGCCTGTAATCCCAGCTACTCAGAAGGCTGAGGCAGGAGAATTGCTTGAACCTGGGGGGGCAGATGGAAGTTGCAGTGAGCCAAGATCGTGCCATTGCACTCCAGCCTGGGCAATAAGAGCAAAATTCCATCTCAAAAAAAAAAAGAAAACAAACAAACAAACAAACAAACAAAACTGTGGGAAGACAAGGTGTTCTCATTCCATAGGAGATTTGTGAGAACTCACGCTGGGGGTGAAAGTGTACATCTGTAGCGTGAAGAAGCTCTTAACATAGGAGGACTTAAGGCGAGAAACCCCAGCTTGGCATTTAATGTCAAAATGAGTTCAGCACGACTTCTAGCCTCTGGGCCCATGAGTAATAATAAGCACACTAGTGAGAATCTCTGTAAATGTAGGGCTGGGGAAACCCTTCCTGGTCCCACTCGATTCCTCATGACAGAACTCACACTGAAGAGAGAAATCGGTGATGTAAGGAAAGTGGGAAGGTCATGAACAGGTCCGCAAACCATGGCCAGCTGTCGATCATATGGCTTGCAAGCTAACAATAGTTGTTCCATCTTTAAAGAAAAAGAATTTGTGATAGAGAACATATGTGGCCAGCGAAGTCTGAAATACTTCCTGTCATCTGTCCCTGTCCAGAGAAAGTTGGCTAATCCTTCATCGACAGCAGGGGTTCCCAGCCAGGTGGCAGTTTTGCTGTCCAGCATCATTTGGCAGTATCTGGAGACATTTTTGGTGTTAGAACTGGGGGAAAGTGCTCCTGACTTGTAGTAGGAAGACAAGAGGGATGCTGCTAAGAACCCTGCAGTGCACAGGAGTCCCCCCACAACGAAGAGTTTTGTGCCCCCAAATGTCTCTGTTGCTGAGGTTGGAAATAACCTTGCATAATAATTCCTCAATTATTGCCTGCAACAATCCCTCAGTCTTCTGCATCTTGTGAGCACTTATGCTAGGAGAAATGTCTTTTACAAAACTTTTAAAATACAATCAGTGCTAATAATTTGTATATGGAAATTATTCCAGCCATGGTCCCCTCACTTGTGCATGTGAATATTGTCACTAGGAGAGAAGCCCCAGCAGGATTTTCCATTGAATATGGGATTGCACTTACTCTCTCATCATGAAAACAGACCCCAACTCATAAATTTTTCATCTTTATTTTTAAGGTTACACTCCTCTAAATAACCCTGAAGCCTCATCACCAAAGGTTTGTACATAGTATTTTTACTATAGCTTCATCCTTGATAGCATCCTGATTTCCTTCTGGACAACCTGCTTGACCAATCGCATATTTAGATCTGTGTGACATGTGGGTATTTCTCAACACTGGATTGTTACTGGTACCTAATTCACATGCATTATGACCACAGCATGACGTCTCCATCAAGTGGTGGTATGTTTGCAGCCTGCTGTTCAACCGAGAGTG